ATAAATGGGCCTACTCTCCTCACAATTCCCTCAAACACAAGGCATTACAAACCATATTACTTTATCCTTAACAAGGGAATGTGTCGGTTATGTATTCATGCCCAAACATTTAAAAAAAAATTAAAAACAGAATTTGAGATTACTTACAGAAACATAAAAAATATGCCATCATAAAAACGAACATGTGAGGAGAGATTCCCTCTGCTGGTATTTCAACCCTTCACCTTCTGCCCACTGACAAATAAAGAATATTTAGGTTAATGATGCTCTCTGAGACAATGTGAAATGCTATTTTGATCTCTTCTTCTCAAATTATACCACTGCTTTCCTTGGAAATTTTTCTACACTAAGCCTTATCTACTGAAGTACGTATGAACTTGTACTTCAATTAAACAAAAACATTAATAGATAAATGCAAACTACACCTTACTTTTTACTCTGGATTTTGCTTAGTATAAATGCTAATAAAAGGATCAAAACTATCTTAATGAGGATCCAAGAATGATAGCTCACAACCTCTTCTTCCAAAACCTACTTTTGCTTGTCTCATGTAGTCTTACTCCCTATCCCAACAAAAGTATGCCTGGGCATATTCATGTGCAGATGCCATGAAAGCTGAGTGACGGTGTTCTTTTAGTCAGATATTAGGTACAAATCACATGGACTGTGCGAGAAGAGAGAGAAAAGGCAACAGAGCAAGCAGGAAACTCACAGCTATACATGGCCTTGCAGAAATTATAGCTATCTGAGTTTTCCGTTGTTCATTCAGAGACCAGAAGCATAGTTTTAGAATGGGAAGACATCTATGAGACCCTGCTCATGCCATCAATTAATAGGACTTTAATTAATAGCCCATCAATTAATGGGCTTTAGGAAGGTGTGGTGACCTACTCAAGGTCACATATCTGGTTGGCAGCAGAGCTAGGAATATAATATGGAACTTTTGGTTCGAAGTCCTCTTTCAATTATACCACAAACAAAAATAAAAAGCATAAATGCCCAACACAGGAGAATATTTAGTAATATTTTCAAATAGGATATCATGTAGGTATCAAAATTATTTTAACATGAAGTTTTAATGAAATGAGGAAGTGCTTATAATGTTAAGCAAAAAAAGCAGGATATAAAACTAAAAGATACCAACCACATTTTAAAAATGCTTAGAGTGAAGGAAATATACTAAGATGTTTACAATGGTAAAATTACTAATAATTACTGTTCTTTTATTATAATATTATATACAATATCTATTTATTTCTGCAATTAAACTAATACTTGAAGTGAAAAAATGAATTTAAAAAAATAAAATATCGTATTGGAAAATATAACCTAACTAGTCAGAACTATATAAAATAAAATACATAGATTCTAGATAAGAACTTAAAGTCTCTGTTGTATGGACTTGTCCGCAAATTCGGTGACACACATGGCTTTTGCTTACTTCCCATTTCTTTGCTGGAGTTCAGGTTGCTAGACAGTTGAATCGTGGATGGGTAGAGTATTAAGGTATATGAGGGTACTTCAAAAAGTATATGAAAAATAGAATTAAAAGATAATACAAATCTTTCCAGGAACTTTTTTAAAAAGTACTCTCATATATGTATTTTTTTAAATTACTATATTTATCATTACAGAATATAATCACTTGGGGGAAGAAAGGACACAGAGAAAGACAGGAAAAAAAAGGAAAGGAGAAAAGGTTCTGAGCCAAAGCTTTCAGACAAGTGTCTAAGAATTTTTTTCATTGCAGTCTTCTGTGGGGGATTGGTTCCAAGACCCCTGCATATACCAAAATCTGTAAATGCTTAAGTCCCTCATATAAAATGGTGTAGTATTTGCATATAACCTATGCATATATCCCTGTGTACTTTAAATTATCTCTAGATTACTTATAACACCTAAGAGAATGTAAATGCTATGTAAATATTATTATACTGTATTTTTTATTTGTATTATTTTTTACTGCTGTGTTGTGTGTTTTTATTTATTTATTTTTTTCCTGAATATTTTCCACCAGAGTTTGATTGAATCTATGGATGCAGAACCCACAGACATGGAAGGATGACTGTAATTGGTGTTTAGAAGTTTAGAAGCCACAACTGGTGGTATTTGTCACTAAGTCACTTAGGCTGATTTATCAGTAGAAAAGCATTAAAGACAAATTAACCTCTCTCCAGAGAGCAAGGTATTTTGTAACAATTAACTACTTACTACACCTGGTAGAGCTGAATTATGAACGTAAGGAAGTTAAACTGGGATAGCATGGAAAGAAGCTAAGCAGTTGAAGCAAATGAGTATCAGCATAGGATGGCAGTATCTGACGGCACTGGATACTATTACCAATTTTCTATCCTATTTCCTTTGTGTTATGATGAAATATTTTTCTGTTAAATAGCAGTATCTTTTCTTATTTTCTCTCTTTCTTTCTTTGAAATAATTAATATATGGTTATGGAGGAGGAGGCTGTGACCTTTTGATTTTACAACACACAATGACATTCATTCATATATACACACAACCCCCAATCAATTCTGCCACCCTGAATCACACAGAGCCCAGAATGGGAGATTTAACAAATAAATGTTCCTGACTTCTCAAAGCTTCTGAAGACTGTTTTTAAATATTTCCTTCTGCCTCTCCAAACACTACATGCCAAGGAAAGACTCTAAGAGTATTTCAAACTGGTTTGAAGAATAGTAAGATCCAAATCTGTGCTCATTCAGCATTAGTGACATTAAGTAGCATTTGCAATACGATTTCTAAGGACTTCCCCAAACATGATATATTTTATTATTATAATAACCCTGGAAAATTTTATTAGCCCAGCTTTACAGATGAAGAAACAGAGGTTTTGAGAGATTGCCTCACTGAAGATCACACCAATATTGGGCTAGAGGGAAGGCCTGGAACTTAGATCCTCTAACTCTCAATCCTATGTTTATTTCCACTGTTTCATGCTACATGGTTTTTTTGATAAATTAATTCCATGCAAAAGTAATCGTCCTTAAAAGCCCCCCGTACTAGTGTACCTCTGAAGATTAGTTGCTCAACAAAGTACAGAAAAGTGGAAAATTACCTCGAAGAAGGAAAAAATGGAGGGGTGGGAGGTTGTAGCCAATGTTTATTCACATGACGGTGTCTATTTGTGCCCCTTCATCCACTAGAATGCATCCCTCTTTTCACAAATACACGTTCATCATTTGTCCTTCAAGGTTTAAACTAATGCCCACCCCTAAAGAAATCCATGGAAAACTTCAGCTATTTTCACTATTCCTTGACTCCACATCTCAGCTTAAGTTTAATAGCTTGTGGATCTAACAGGGTGTGCTTAGTCCCAAATTCCTCAGGAATTTTCCCCCAGGGGTCATATATGTATGCTTTTGCTCCCCAGTTAGACTTTAAGCAAGATCTATGTTTTCTACATTCAGACTTCTCCTCATCTTTTCAATGCTATTCTCTCTTTCTTCCAACTGCCTAGTGTATCACTATGCACTCAACAAATGCTTACTGAGAAAATGAGAACCTGTATTAGTGTGGTGAAAGCACAGCTTGGTTAGTAATTAGGAGGTTGAAGTCTCAGCTCTACAGCTAAGTTACTGCGTTATTCCAGGCAAGCCAATGGGTCCTGGTTTTCTCACCATAAAATGGTTATGGGGGCAGGAAGTAGGTGGACTATATGAGAGCTATGATTGATAAGATGTAATGAATATTTAAATATTTGATTGGGGCTGATCACAATCTCACTTTATTCCATTATGGATGAGAGAGGAGATGAATAAGAATTCCAGTGAGAAGAATATTAAAAGTAAGACAAATACAGAGACCAAATAACTAACCACCCAACAAGCAGAAAAAAGGCAATGTGTCTGGAAGATTAATAAAGCAAAAATGAATCAGAGAGAGAAGAGATTTCCTGAGCAAGGCTAGAAATGTAGGTCTTGCTTGAAAGGGATGTGAAGGAGTTAGAGGGTGGAATGTAAATGGAAAAGCTTGATAACTAGAAAAATTGCTTTAGTGGTTAGGCAAATGTAGTACACTATTTCTTTCTTTTTTTTTTAATTTGCTCTTCTGTTTGCTATTCAAGTTTGAAATCAAATGTTAAGAATGCCAGCACTGAGAATACATAGATTATGATGAAGAAAATAATATGCATACTAAAACATCTTTGTGAAATAAAAACAGAAGTTCCTGGTATTAAAATAAGGATTAATACTATCAATATTTGACCATTAGAAACCTAATTTCCTGTACTTTTTCCTCCTTTTTTTTTTAAAGAGGGGAGAGATATGGCAATTTTAATCAGGATATTTTTACTGCATAAGTTTAATTTTGTTAAAGATTTTAGTAATTCCAAGTAATACTGCACCAGTTTCATTAAAATTGGTTTTAGCTGACAGACCATGTAATTGATAAAAATGGTGTTTTAAGGAGGTCTGTTCATGACTTCATTAATAAGCTCCCTTGTATGGGATGAATTTATAACGTGCGGTGAACCGAAGTCTCTGGTGGGTATTAGGGCTAGAATTCATCTGAGCCACTAAGGAAAAGAAAGTCAAGCTCAGCTTAAACCTTCAAGAAAAAAATAGTACCTCTTTAGAAAAAAAAACTTCTGAAATTAAAAAAAAAAATCACTTGAATCAAATAACAGTTCTTGGATTATCAGATGTAAAATTTTTCAGTCGGTTCCAAAACTGAAGTGCCACTTTAAAAGATTAAGTGAATAGGAGTACACAGTTGATAACAGGCCAGAAAAAATTCTAGTTAAAAACAGCAAAAATTTAAAGGGATTTGAAATTTAAAAGCCATTTTTAGGAATCTCTTGACAAAGGTTTGATACTAAAACTGCAGAGAATAAACTTACTATTAATCCATGTTATATAACTTGTATCCAGTTTGCTCTTAAGCTTCTACCTCAGAAAAGAGCTTAAATTTAACCAAGGTCTATAAAGAAAATTTTGCAGGGAAAAAAAATTGCGTGTGTGTATTAAAGACAAACATACCTGCTTCGTCATAGGACACAGTCAATTTTTCTAGCATTTCTCGGTCAATTGATAGAATCTGCTGTTCAAGAATGGTCTGGTAGGACAATACACTGTTTTCTTTGTCTTTTTCGTAGTCCTGGAGATGCTGTTTAAGGGCTTCTGGGAGTCGAGATTTTACATATTCAGCTGCAGTCTGCAGATAAAACAGTCAGAGAACCCCATCAGAACTTCTCATTTTAGGCTTTTCATTTACCCTCAGGTGCCATAGAGAGAACTCAAAGCACTGTGGAACCAACCCTTCAGACAAGCATGCCTCTGTCATTGTCATTTTAAAAATTCCACCATACCCAGTAAGTTGGATCTTCAAACAGAATCACAGACCCCTCAGAGTTTTCTACTAGGCTTAAAGGTATGCTAGATTTGATTTGATATTCACAGAGTTAGTACTCAGATTTATTCCAGTGAACTCTGAAGACCCTATGATAGTACTTTTGTGGGATATAAATTTGACTTGTCCTGGTCTAGAATGTAGAAGATAGTCACTCATCTGAGTAGTGAGCTCACTCATACTATGGCATACACATCCATGTTTTGCTTTGCCATTCTCCATGTGTTAGTGCTTCACACAAGAACTCCTGGGAAATAAATAGAAAAGAGAGCCCTCTACTAAGGCTGATAATGAAATAATGGGATAAATAGAAAACGAAGAGATCTAAGACAATGATGCCCCTTAACGTGAAGAAAAAAAAAAAAAAGAACTGTTCACCACTTAAATGTCTTAGCCTTCAAATACAGTATTATTTTTTGTTTTTCTGAGGTTAAAAAACAAAGTTATATAATGTCAGGGATAATATATCCGTTTTCTGTGAAGCATACATATATCTACATATTGTATTTAATATTATTATCATAAATGCATAGGGAAAGATATGGAAGGCTGTACTTCAATTGCAGAAGATAATCTTACATTTCATACTTTTGTATTGTTTCCATGGTCTTAACTATATAATTTTTAAAAATTATCTTTAAAATATATTTCTTTGTAACCTTCATAGTTTTTCTTTTAAATGTTAGCGCAATTTAGGATGAAAAGAAACTTGTCAGAACAATGACAACTGACTTCCCAGGAAAAGTCCACTGGGAAGTGGTGGGGAAAAGCTTATATTTCAGTCTTCAAAGTAGTCAGGGTTGGCACACAACACTTTTTATTTCCAGATTTATATTTAGATTCCCTAAGTCAGTTGCTGATGAAGTTATAATTTTAAAATATCACCAAACATTGTTTAATCTCTCTGCCAGCCAGATAGTGCAGAACAAATAAAATTATTCCATAAAACATAAATGGACTCAGCACATTAGCCTGACATGTTTAATTCTAGAGTTTAATAACAATATTCCCTAGCCACTGGAAAACTAAGAGAGACACTACAGAATAACTGTTTTTAAACTCACACTACCTTGCTGTTCACTGTAATGTCTTTGATTTTTTTTCCTTGGAATACCTGTGAGGTACGGGAAATAGTTTTATAATTCACATTTTACAAATATTGATGTACTCTATATTATTGAAAGCATACTACATATTTCTTTCCAATTGTGCCCACTGATTGTGTTTGTAATGAAATTTACTTTTCTAACTACAATCATGATATAGATCTTTGAACAGGGCCTATATATTTGATTATATTGAATTATATTTCTGTATCTTCACAATAACTTTGAGTGAAAATAGGCAAATTATTGGTTTGGCAAAGCCTTCATATCTTTCAACATCTGACTCCACTGCTTTAAACTCTGTTAGTGTTACCTAACCTAACTTCTATAAACACCTGAGAGCACCCAACGATCTTCCAATTATTTGTACAGATATAGACATTTTAGCTCCTCAGTTTGGCAGAAATAAAGATGGTATCTTACACATTATTGTGTTCCCCCAGCACCAGGTTCAGTGCTTTGTACCACAGAAGCTTAACACCTTGAGAGCATGTAAGAATGAGATACTTTAGATAGTCTTTGGAGAAAAATTATCAACTTGTCAAAAAGTTTTTGCCTACAAACAGAACTTCCTTTCATGATTCCAGATAATAACAATAAGAGTCTGGTTTTCTACTGGCAAATGGAACTACATTTTGTCTTTAATTATCATTGATGCCATTCTTTTAGAAAAGTAAACAGCTCAAACATCATTCACATGCCAAAATGGCAAATTATGTAACTCACACATAGAGCTGTACATGAAGCTTTATTTGTCTTCCTCTCCAAAATCGTTTGATCTTCTCCATTCTTGCCTTTATTTCTGCATTTGGCAATGGGCTTGACTCTGCGAGGGCCCTTTGTGGAGTCATGTAGAGCATACCTCAGAACTGTACACCTGAGTTAATAAGCATTGTCTCCCAAGTGTTAACTCCCCCCGGACATTCAGGTTCGTGCTTATCTGAACTACTGAGTAGGTTCTCAACTGCATCCTAGGTGGTGGTGGAGCCGCGTCAGAGTAGAAAGTATGAGAAAGTTCTCAGGTATCCTCTAGTTAGACCTGAGAAGATGGTGGTCTCTACAACCTGGAATAAAAAGCTTATGAAGCAGGGCACAAAAGATGCCCAATGCACCTTCTTACAAATGTGCATACGTTTACACTACCCATGCCAACTTCAGTCTGGAAGACATCAAAGAGCTAGAGCAAACCCTATAAAAAGAACTTAGTGGGTGAAAAGGATAAAAGAAAAAAAGAAGAATTATTAAGAATCTAAATTCTGGGAACCTAATAGGCAGAATGCTGATATTGGTCATTAAACTAAAAAACTATTTACTATTACAGTGGCATGTTAAGAAATAATTGATACATATTAAAGAAACTGGGAGAAGTGCAAAAATATAGTTCAAGAACTATTAACTGCTTCACAATTCATCTTAAAAAGAAAATCTGTTGCCAGTCAGCTCTAACCTATTGACTGTCTGCTGAGTAAAGCACAGACTGTCAGTGTTCAAAGAACAAACCTCTACCATAAAGAAACCTGCAATTTCAATGTGCAAACAAAAAACATATTTTACAAAGCGGTACAAAAATAGGCAGGAATCTTGAGAAAACTAATATATTTAATACACAAGCTATGTTAAGTGTTGAGCAGCTTCTAGGGAGAGAAATTAAGATGGGAGAGAGGACACAAAAATAATCAGGAAATCGCTCTGGTGGAGTTTAAAGACCAATTTTTGAGGTAAGAGTCACTTACTGGAGGAAAGAAAAGCAATCTAGAAAGTAGTGAGTGTGACTTCATAGGGAGAAATAAAAAGAAATGAAGTTGATAAAATTAGGAGTATGAGAGAACTGGCAGTTGGAGAAGACTCAACTACCTGTTAAACCAGGGACTTCTGATTTGCAGGAGTTAGTAGTAACAGGAAACACCTGTAACAGGTTAAAAAGTGAAATAAATGATCAAATCTTGTTTGAGGAAAAATATGTTACAAGCTGAATTTAAGACTCACTGAAAGAAATAAGATTAAAGTGAGACAAGTAAAAAGTCTGAAGAAAAGGAAAACTGGCTTTCTACACTGTGGTTGGAGAATAAATTGGACAATCTTTTTAGACAGAAAATGAAAAAATGTAACAAAAACTTCAAAATAGTTTACACCTTTTACCTAGTAACTGTCTTCATAGGAATTTATTTTAAGGAAAAGTTAAAGATGAGAACAAAACAAACACTTGTGAGCAAATATATTTATCAAAATATTATTCATGATAATGAAAATCTGTCTAGAAATTGGTTGACTAAATTATAGGATATACATGCAATGAAATACAATGTAGCTATCAAAATCCGTGTTATGAAAAAATACAAAATTATGTGGGGAAATGTTCATAATAAAAAGATTACCAAGTAGTTAGGATACTATAAATGTATGAGGAAAAAACTGAACTAATGTGCATCATTAGTTTTCTCAGAGTAGTAAAAACATTTGGGTGATTTTTTTCCTCTATGTAATTTTCTGCATTTTCCAAATTTTATAAAATGAAAGTAATATTTCTATGTGCTGGCACTGTGCTGAATACTTTATATACATGTGTTAGCTTATTTAATCCTCACAACAACCCTAATAGGTTTTAAGACTCAGAGAGGTTAAGTAAGTTATCCTCGGTCATGCAGTGAGCAATGGAGCAGGAAACACCAATTACTGGTGATTTAGAAAAGGAAAAAAAAAGGGCCGGCCCGGTGGCGCACTGCTATAGTGCGCCGCTTGGGAAGCGCACTGCTATAGTGCGCCGCTTGGGAAGCGTGGCGGTGCTCCCGCCGAGGGGTCGGATCCCACATACAGACCGGTTCCCGCTCACGGGCTGAGCAAGGCGCGGGAGCAACACCGAGGGTTGCGATCCCGTTGCTGGTCCCGGTCCGGTACGGGGGCGACACTGAGGGTTGCGATCCGTTGCCGGACACGGAAAAAGACAAAAAGGAAAAAAAAATTAATATTGTAAAAATAAAGTGACGCCTACTGTGGTCATTTCTGTACAAAGTAAATCAGCCCCAAGCTAGGATAAAGCCCAGGAGAAGAGAACAAAAAAGCACATGAGCAAAGCTTGGCGAGAGATACATGTGAATTGGCTTCAGCGATACAACACTGGAAGCTAAGGATGATGGTGGAGCTGCTAGAGTAATGGGAACACTCAGTAAAGTGAAACAACATATTAAATTTACTTTTGGGTTTTTTTTTTTTTTAGTTTTTCTTTTCTTTTTTCTTTTATTTTGTCGATATACAATGTGGTTGATTATTGTAGCCCATTACCAAAACCTCCCTCCCTCCTCCCTCTCCCCCTCCCACCCAACAATGTCCTTTCTGTATGCTTGTCGTGTCAACTTCAAGGAATAGTAATTGTTATGTCTTCTTCTCCCCCGCCGTTTTGTGTGTGTGTGTGTGTGTGTGTGTGTGTGTGTGTGTGTGAATTTATTTATTTATTTTTATCTCCCACCAATAAGTGAGAACATGTGGTATTTCTCTTTCTGTGCCTGATTTGTTTCAATTAATATAATTCTCGCAGCACTCTTTACAATAGCCAAGAGTTGGAACCAGCCCAAATGTCCATCATCGGATGAGTGGATATGGAAAATGTGGTATATCTACACAATGGAATACTACTCAGCTATAAAAAAGAATGAAATACTGCCATTTGCAACAACAGGGATGGACCTTGAGAGAATTAAATTT